ATATTGGCCAGCAGACCCCAGAAAGATACCCGACCTAATTGATTTCGCGGTGACAAAAAACATCCCACGAAATTTAATAAACGCCAAGGCCCTTCCAGACCTTTCTTCAGATCACTCGCCGCTGTTGATAACCCTCCTTCAAAGCCCAGAAACTACGGATCGCCCCTATAGGCTGACGTCGCACAGAACCAATTGGATGAAATACAAAAAGTATGTGAGTTCCCACATTGAGCTAGCCCCCCAGCTCAATACTGAAACCGACATCGACTCCTCCACCTCCGCACTGGAAGAGGTACTTGTGACTGCAGCTAGAATCTCAACACCACAACAGACGGATGTGCAAAAAATCAAACTCAAAACGAACCAGCAAATTGAACAGCTTATCCAAGAAAAGAGGCGTCTGCGACGGGCGTGGCAAACCAATAGATCGCCATGCACAAAGCAACGTCTAAGTGAAGCCACACGCAAACTAAGCCGGGCCCTGAAGCAAGATGCCGAAAAAGCACAATTAAGATATATTGAAAAACTCTCGCCAACCAGCACAAAGCATCCCTTATGGAGAGCTCACCCAAATTTAAGCTCACCGGCTGAAACCATCACCCCGATAAGAATGTCATCTGGTTGCTGGGCCCGCAGCGACAAAGACAGAGCCGAAACTTTTGCCTCACATCTCCAGGGCGTTTTCCAGCCGAACCCTGCTGCAAATCCATTTGATCTACCGCAAATCACTCGACTTTATAAAATTTTTTTTTAACTCCACACACTTCTCCCAGCGATGCTCCCATCTCTGCAACCCTTCCAAATAGTACTTGACGTCTTTGTCTGCAAAATACGAGTTCACGAAAGAGGTTGCCTCCTCATTTGACGAAAATCTCTGGCCGCCAAGCGCAGTTTTAAGTTGAGGAAACAAAAAAAAGTCGCTTGGTGCTAGATCTGGTGAATAAGGTGGATGGTGGATGAGGTGTGAGATGGCGCGCTGTCTTGGTGGAACAAGACTTTCTTTTTTAGCAAATGTGGCCGATTTTTCGAAATTTCTTCATTTAGCTTGTCCAATAATGATGCGTAGTATGCTCCTGTTATAGTTTTTCCTTTTTCAAGATAGTCGATAAAAATAATTCCATGGCTGTCCCAAAAAACACTCGCCATCACTTTCCCAGCCGAATACACAGCTTTAGGTTTTTTTGGGGCCGGTTCCCCCTTTTCAATCCACTGTTTAGATTGGATTTTTGTTTCGAGCGTATAATGATGAATCCAAGTTTCGTCTACAGTTATCAATCGGCGCCAAAACTCGGTCTTATTGCCTCTAAACTGAGCTTTCTCATGCCCAAATTTTGGTTTAATATGTGACAAACACGTTCTTTTGACATCTTCATAATCCGGCGGTCGTCTAGTACCAATTGATGAACTTTAGCGATGTTATCGTTAGTGGTTACAGTTTTTGGACCCCCAGGACTTTCATCATCTTCCAAACTCCTGCGACCACGTTTAAATTCAGCTGCCCAAAATTTGACGGTGGTAAACGATGGTGCAGAGTGACCATACACAGAGTCCAACTCATCTTTGATTTGTGAAGGCGTATTGCCTTTCAAAAATAAAAATTTAATTACAGCTCGATATTCAATTTTTTCCATTTTGGGGAATTCACCGAAATAGACTCACAAAAACGACGGTGAACAGATAATTGCGCAAGATAAATTTCTGAAATTTTGCCGAGTAGCTATTATAATATGCACAATTTGAAGTAGAAACTTTTTTTCAGATGTGCCGCTAGCTTCACGTTGGGGTCGGTTATTTATCAGACAGCCCTCGTAAATGGGTGGGGTCTTTGGCTGTTTTTGAGTCTCCTGCTCCGGCTCTGCTTGGTTATTGTCATCAGCTGCTAGCGGGGAAAATCTTTTGGAGTTGGTTGATCGCAGCTTTTGGTGACACGGTTGATCTTAGGTTTGTTAACAACCGTGTTATATGGGCTGAGCTTGCGCTTAATTTGGATGTAGCGATCCATGCCAGTCTGTATGGCCGGAACCGCTTATTGCTTATCGGAACTCACGGTTTTTGTTACCATTGAATTTGGCGCTGCGGCCGTTGGCACCGATTTCGCAATATTGGTCGTTGGTTTAGTTGTTGCTGTTGCTTTTGCTGCGTTTGCAGAAATTGCAGCTCTGCTTGTTGTTGGTGCGTCTTCCATCGAAGCCGGTGGTGGTGGGGTTTGGCATTGGGAGCTCCAAGATGTAGGAGCTGGAGTGAGTAGGGCGGGTGAGCAAGAGCGCGCTCTCGTGCCGTCGGCGGCCAGTAGAGCCGGGTTGGGCTTGGTAGACGTTTTTTCTGCTTCGATATCGGGAGTTGAGAAATAAGAGAAACATCCGTTTCTTTGGTTTACAGAGGTTCTACGCTCATTCTTTTGATCGCCGCTCATTATTTTGAGCTTGTTACGCGTGGCACTATATAAATTAACTTTGCAGCTCAAAAACACGTCTCACGCACTAGTGTCCGTATGTCATACGCACTGTAGTGCTTGGCCTAACTGACAGTACGTAGTTTAGAGTTCCGAACTTACTTTTTCACCATGAAAAACACTACAAGAATGAACCCCGCGTAGCGGTTGTCCGTAGGCACGTCTGCACTCGATAAAGGTCGAATGCGAATTGCTGGCGACAAGATTTTAAGGCGAGCGGTGCGTTTTAGTGTCCGTTAGCGGGACATTTGCGGCGTTTGCACGGGTCCCAGTGTTCGCCCGTTTTAGTGTCCGTTTTCGGGTCAGGTTTCGACAATTAGGCAAACGTATTGCGGTATATCCGCTATTTGGCTGCCCACTGTACGTTTCAGTGTCCGTTAAGAATACGTTTTCGGCATATTCCCGAGGAACGCCAAAGTTTTGCTGTTCGTCCGCTTGCGCGTCTGTTTTTAAGCATTCTTCGAACCTAATGCGAAAACTCCAATTCTTTGAGCAACATCTGTATCCAAAATATGATTACAGCTGATCGATCAGCTGTGTCACATCTAAAACAAACAAAGATGGCTGAAGCGGCTGATGTGGGAGTAATTTATCAACTATTTATTTATTAAATAATTATCAACAACAGCAAGACCATAGATTGCGTTCGAATTTATTCCACTACATTAAAATTAATTAGGTAATAGGGTCTTCCCACACACCGTCAAAGCGCATCCACCGTCCGTTGAAAAAACGGTCCATAAGGTTTTTCAGTTCGTAGTTCATAGTGAATGGTCAAATTTTCACTGTCAAGAAGAAGAAATCAGCGTTGCACTGGAAAACTAACAAAATGAGAAATATCTGAACGACAAAACCTTATAGGGTCTTCCCACACACCGTCAAAGCGCATCCACCGTCCGTTGAACAAGCGGTCCATAAGGTTTTGCCGGTCCGAATTTTCTCAAATGGACCGGCATCAAAGCGCATCAAAATCTAACGACCGTTTGTTTAGCGATAGTTAGGCGATAGTTTTTCAGTGCAACTCTGATTTCTTCTTAGCAGTGTAAATTTGACCAACACTACGAAAATGTAAACAAACTTGACGAGGAACAAATGAAATATGGAATTTAAAATGTGGCGCCAAAGCTACAAGAATGCCCAAAACAGTTGTTGGCGTTTTTTTTTTTTGTATATTTTTTCCCCAAAGGGTCCCCAATCGACTTTATTTTATAGATTTGGAAAGCCTTTACTATACCACCTATACACACACATCGCGGAATTTGCTCTTTGTTAGAGAAAAATCATTAGAGAAACTCAAATTCGTCGTAATCTAATTCATTTTAAGTTAGTGCGGATAAAATCTGACGCAATCTGTGCTTTTGCTGTTGTACAACAGCCAATACATCAGCCAAATTAATCCAAGCAAAATCAAAGCAAAATTACACATATAGTGGTCTCTTTCAAGGTTCTAATGAAGTAGCTAATTAATAAAAACTGCATTAGAGTGTCATATGGCTATTAGAAGAAGAAATCAGAGATGAACCGCAAAACTATCGCCTAACTATCGCCAACTTTGCACTTTGATGCCGGTCCATTTGGCAAAATTCTGAACGGCAAACGCTTATGCCCATATGATACACTAATGCAGTTTTCATTAATTAGCTACTTCATTAGAACCTTGAAAGAGTCAGCTATATTGTCATTTTGTTTGGATTTTGCTTGGATTTTGCTTGGATTATTTTGGTAATACGACTACGGTCACACCGACCGTAAAAGGTAAACAAAAAAAACGGCCGCCATTCGCGGCGTATTGTTATGAATTTCTGAATTCCTCGTCGAAGTATTCTTGCATAAATAAATGCAGAATCCTTTAAATTTATGTTTTTAATCTATAATGCTTAAATTTTTTTTAATTATTACAAAAAAAAATAATTTTAATTAATTTTACAGCGCAAGAACCTTGCTACCGCAAAACATATTATTTTTGCTAATTTTCTAATATATTTTCAGTTCAAAAAACAAGCGAAATGATATAAAAATAAAATTCTCATTGTGAGACCATACTGTCAATGAGCTGGCTAATACATTTTTCGATTACAATTTTCTTCATTAAACCCGTATTTTGTTATCGAGTATCTAGTATATAATATGTAGATCTATCGATTATCGCGGCAATGAAGTAGCTAATGCATTATTCTAATGCATTAGAGCGCCATATAGTCGTCTTGCTCGCACTTGTGTAAAACGCTATAGCGCTGTCAAATCTTTAATGAAGTCGCTAATTAATGCGGCAGTGTCATGCCAGTATTATGGCCGTTTGTTCAACGGACGGTGGAAGCGCTTTAACGGTGTGTGGGAAGACCCTATTACCGCCCATACGTTCAACGGATGGAGGATGCAGATGTTGGTTCAGTGAGAAGACCCTATTATAAATGCATTGAGCCCAAGTAGAAACGGGACTTTATGCCCCAAATGGTGTAAAGTTTAAAAGAAAAATACTAAATATTCGATACTATCGTGATGTAGGTTTTTATTTATTCATAAGAATATTATACATAAGAACGTTAGTCCATTTGTATAATTTCCATAGCCCTGGTTTTGTCCACTTTTCAGGATTTTCTCGACTGTATATACATACATATGTACCTGTATGTGTATGTAGATATATTGATGTTATGTACCAATACGTAATAATAAAATTGTTTTTAATTGTTTCGTAAGTGTGTGCATATACATATATATATGTACATAGTCTAGTTCTTCTGAGCAAAGCTCTGTTTATTAAGGTTACTTCCTGTGTTATAAACTTACACTTGTTTACTTATTCTTGAGTAACATTTGATCATTGCAAGTTAAATATTGGTACATGCGTACACAATACATTCATACATCTGGAAAAATTTGCACTATCAACGATTTTAAATTATGGAACACGTACTAAAAGAAAGTATTAGCAGGCGCAAAATTTTTTTATTTGTCATCATTGTCTTACAGGGTTTGTATAATATAATAAATATTTCTGCAAAATTATTATACATATGTACATGCATACTGAGATATGTATGTATGTATGAGAATGTACATAAGTATGTATTCAGATGTACAATGTGTATGTATAACATACATACAAATGTATGTACATACATTTGTATAAATATATGACATATGTATGTATATGTACACAGTGGCTCCAAGCTTATTTCGTGCAAGAATTTACAACTTAAAATTAGAAGGTATTTTCATCTACTTTGAGATAATAGCTTTTTATTTTGGTATAAATTTTAAATAAAATAAATCGGTAGATGTGGAGAAAATGTAAAGCTGGGAATATAAAACTGTAACTGTCAAACTGTAAAAATAATAATTATTCATTAATTTAACCAGAATGGATCACATCTTAATGATCGAATTGCAAACTGCAAGGGTATACATACAAACTTTTTCGTACCGAAGTTAGCTTCCTTTTTTGTTTTTACTTTGAATTCCTACCAATGTATCATTCAACGTTATAGAAATACCTACACTCAACCGCATATCTCTGCGTACACCCCATACAAATTTCAAATTCAAACTTCAAACACACACCGTTCGGCCATTTTTCAACATTTTAACCAACTTTTTTTTCGTAACATAACTTTATTTAATTGCTTTCAATTACGTATTTTTTTTAGAATTTTTTAACCATGTCTTATGATTTATTTTTAATTTTAAACTTAACGCTATGAAAAAATGTACACGCAAAAGTCTGCGTACAGCTAACTAAAAACTACTTAAAGCCTATTATTTATAACTTTTTATATTTAATAAGGTATCCATTTGCCTTTAGCACCTCCGTAAGGCGCTTCGGCATGGAATCCATCAGTTTTTTGACTCCTCGGCTGTAATTTTGCCCCATTCCTCCACGATGACATCCTTGAGTATTTTTTAGATGTTATGATGTGTTTCCGGATCCTTTTCTATATTAGATCCCGTAAATGTTCAATTGGGTTGAGGTCAGGACTCCTGTGGAGGTGTTCGCACCTAATTTTTAGCATTATATAGAAAGCTTCATATTATGCGCCGTGTGCTTGGGATCGTTGTCTTGCTGGAACCAATATTCATGTTTTAGCCCCAAATTTTCAGCATTTTTTTGAAAATTTTTTCTTTAAAATGTTGATATAGGCTCCTTGGTCCATAATTGAATCGAAAAAAGTTCAATTTTCCACGCCGCTCGCTGCCTTACACCCCTACACCATAATGCCGCTTCCTCCATGCATTACCGGGCCCACTACATTTTTCTTTTTAAAGGCTTCTCCGGTTTTTCGACTCACTAAAACATTTAGACTTTTGGTCATATTTTCCGATGAAAGCAAGTTTTGCATATTCGGAATAAAGGGCAAAGTTTAAATGTGTCGAAAAACCGGAGAAGCCTTTAAAAAGAAAAATTTAGTGGGCACGGTAAAGCATGGAGTCAGCTGCATTACGGGGTAGGGGTGTATGGCAGCGAGCGGCGTGGGAAATTTGACTTTTATCGAGACAATTATGGACCAAGGAGCCTATATCGACATTTTGAAGAAAAAATTTTCAAAAAAGTGCTGGAAAATAGGGGCTAGAACATGAATATTGGTTCCAGCAAGACAACGATCCCAAGCACACGGGGCATAATACGAGGCTTTGGCTTCTATATAATGCTAAAAATCAGCTGCGAACACCTCCACAGGAGTCCTGACCTCAACCCAATTGAACATTTGTGGGATCTAATAGAGCGAAAGAAACACACCATAACATCTAAAAAATGCTCAAGGATGTCATCGTGGAGAAATGGGGCAAAATTACAGCCGAGGAGTCAAAAAAACTGGTGGATTCCATGCGGAGGCGCCTTACGGAGGTGCTAAAGGCATATGGATACCCTACTAAATATTAAATGTTGTAAATAATAGGCTTTAAGTAGTTTTTAGTTAGCTGTACGCAGACTTTTGCGTGTACACTTTTTCATAGCGTTAAGTTTAAAATTAAAAATAAATCATAAGACATGGTTAAAATATTCTAAAAAAAAATACGTAATTGAAGGCAATTAATAAAAGTTATGTTACGAAAAAAAAGTTGGTTAAAATGTTGAAAAAATGGCCGAACGGTGTGTGTTTGAAGTTTGAATTTGAAATTTTTATGGGGTGTACGCAGAGATATGCGGTTGAGTGTACATATGTATATCAATTTATAGTTTGAAGTATATTAAATACCTCAACCCTGTATTTGTAATTGGAATAAAACCGAATTATACCTTGATAGTATTAATTTTGTTTATAAAGTGGCGGGGGATATTTGATTGTCACTCATGACAAGTATTGTTAAATTAATTACAAATTTATTAATTATTTTCATTTTTTCCCTCATAACCTTTATTAATTTCTACTATACATAAAAGAAAGAATGAGTCAAATATAAAGTCAAAGTATCCTCTTTTGCACATTTTGACATTTTTATGTTTTTCAACAACATTTATCATTTGGTCGGCCCTTAGTTTTAATTTCTATTTTAATACAAAATTTAACACAAAATAGTTTAAATGTTTTGTTATTATATGGTATTTAATTTATTAGGCTAGCTTCAATATATATATATACAGCTGTGTTCACTGAAATAGCAGTGCGACAGAGGAACAACTTCAAAACGTTTTTTTGTACATATTCCTTTTTGCAAGCTGATCTATTGCACATTATTTTTGTAAAATGGAACATAAAGATAAGAATCGAGAAAAAATTCCGTTAGATTTGCTCTATTTTTATGTTTTATTGATATTTTTTCACATATGCAGCTCGTTTTGGCCGATCACTGAAAAAGCAGTTTTTAATTTTCTTTCGCAAAAAGTGACGAAATTTCTTTTAATTTTGTAAAAAATGAGTTTAATTACGGTCGTTATTATAGTTTATACTATAATACACCTTTACAACGCAAAAAAAAAATTTTAGTGGGCGCAGGACCTCACTGCTCCATGAGAGAAAGGTATCAGATAACTTAGTCTAGAGAGAAGGGCAAAACATGTAAAGAGTCTCCAAATCTTTCAAATTGTTCTTTTAAAATAGTTTATAAGTCATGAAATATGAACCGAACCCAAAAAAACCGAGGTACGATTTGCAAAACCTCAATTGTACAGGCTCGACGCGTACTTCGCTTCAGCAAAGCTCGTCCTTTTGCATCCTCTGGGGATATATGAGCGGGAATTGGCATGGGAATCAGTCATGGGACCATTCGCCGGGGACTTATTGAATAAATTTTAGATTCGCGAAGTCCATGGAAAATGCCACTGCTTAGTTAAAGGCATATCAAGGCCAGATTGGAGTTCGCCAATACCCACTTGAACTGCCACTATTCAAATGGCGTAATATCCTTTGGACAAATGACTCCAAACTGGTTTTATTTGGTGGAATAGGACAAGACAATATGTCCGTCGACCTCCAAATAGATAGTATCCCCCAAACCATACGCTGAAGACAGTAAAACACGGTGGCCTAAAAATCATGGTATGGGTATACTTTTCATACAACGTTGTAGGTCCCGTATATATGATCGGTGGGATCAAAGACCATTATGTTTATGTCGAAATATTAAAAACTGTCTTGCAGCCGTATCCTGAGGAAAATATGCCATTAATTTGGACATTTCAGCAGTACAGTGACCCTAATCATACCATCAAGGTGGCCAAGGAGTGGGTTCTTAATGAAAAAGTGGATGCAATGCCATGGCGTGCACAGTCCCCGGATATAAATCCGATCGAAAACTTATGGGGGACATCAAGGGCTACGTATTAAAGAAGTTTCCGACTTCTAAGATGCAGCTTTGGCAATTTGTGCAGGAGGAATGAGGCCATATTCCCCTCAAGCGTTGCTAAGACTTGGTGGACTCCTTGCCACCCAGGTATGAGGCTATGATAGCTTCTAAAGGCTATTTAACAAAATATTAGATCATAGTCAATTAGAATTTAAGAAGAAATAGGTTTCTTATACGATATTTTTAAATTTATGAAGAATTTTAGTTTTTTACTGCTATTTCAATGATCGGCATAATATAGACCTGTTTTGTTGTTATTAGCTATATCTTCTAAAAGGTTTATGTTACCTAAATTAAATGATTGTGGTATTGTTAATAATTAAATACACTAAGCCCTTATGAAAAAATTTTTTATGAAAATAGTGTTTGTAACAGTATTTTCCAATCTTAAACGTGCAGGTCGTGGGGCACTGCTATTTCAGTGAACACAGCTGTATATATATTTTTTTTTAATTGACCCGTTTTTAGAAAAAATTATTGGAGACCGAATATTCTTTGCATATGGTAGCCAACGATATAATGAAACTTTTATAAAAGTTTCAGTAATACACAATGATCCAAAACTTCGAATAGAGGTGAACTGAAAACAGACGTAGAACAAAAAAAAACATGGTACAACATTGGAATTGGAAATTGTCAATCGTGGATGATATTTTCCAAGCTAAGGCTAAAGATGAAAGTCCGACCCAATAATGTTGGATATTCCGGAAATAGACTATTATATACTTAATTCATTCCAAGCCTAGTCTATAACTATATACTTAATCAAGATATAACATTAGTCTCACGTATTACTTTGTTCAGGAAATATTCTATTTGTTTTTAAACAAAAGGGGTTGGGAAGCAG